AAAAAAAATTATACGCGAGAATCGAACCCGAGAACTCAAGCTTATGAATCGGACTCGTTACCACTCTGCCACAGGACGCTCAAATAAAAGTACGTATAATTTATATATAAAGTGCTAAAAAACTTTAAGTTCGATTTTCTTGATTATATTTGAGTATTGCACTTTAGTATTTTACAGGTAGTACACTCACATGGTGTACTACTTCTACACCAAAGATTGTCAAAATCCGTTACCCCAAAGCCGTAGGCTCTCCTTGTAAAATTATTTTTAAATCATTAAATATGAAAAATATTCAAAGCTAATAGGTTTTAAATGAAATTCAGTTTTGAAATGTTTACTTTTTTTATAGGAGTGTTTTAAAGGAAATTGGGATGTACATAAATTACTTCATAGAAAAGCTAGTAAGTACTTTTAAATAATTTAATAATGTTTTACATATATTTTTAATAAAAGAAAATAATTTGAAATGTGATCTTATGATAAGGGTATTTTTAAATTTAGATACAGAACAATAGTACATCTGAATAGTTGGTTATCAATTAGTAATTATACCAAAAAGAAAATCTACTTTAAAATTTGGCTTATTAAATTAACTTGATTTTAAATGAAAGATTTTTAGCAAATTTATGTTTGTATTAAACTAAAATTAACATTTTACATTTTATGGAAGTCAAAAAAATATTTTATCTCAACAAATTTCAGAAAAAAAAGAGGTTTTTAATCTGACTTCTATAACGTTACACTATCTGGAACCTGTTACCAGTGCTCTACGCGTATATATAGTATATCGCTCAAAAACATTTGTCAAGCGATATACTATATATACGCGTAGAGCACTGGTAACAGGTTCCAGATAGTGTAACGTTAATTTCACCCCAGTGCTGAAAGTAGAGCAGTTCCTGTAATTCTGACTTCTATAATTTGTAAAATCTCAAAAACATTGTTTTTGAGTTGTTTCTTTATTTTGGGTGTTATGTTGTGTTTAGTATATTGTGTCAGCCTGCATAATTGCTGTCTAATGTCATCTATTTGTGTTTCTGTTCTTCTCTGCTAGGCAGACTTGTGATAGAATTGTGTTTTGTATTTGTCTGTGATTGTATTTTCAGTCCATGGTGTGTCACTACTGTGACTGCCCCAGCATAAACTAATGTATGAATGTCTGAGAGTGTATAAATTTAATGAATGTAGTGTGGTAGTGAGTGTTTACATAATTTAGTGTTTTTCCTAATATCTTTGACATGTTGATTTTTGGTATACACGGTCTTTGTGTACCTGTATATTTAGTGAGTGTTTTCTGAAATATAAGTGAGAGTTTATTAACTAAATCTATGTCTTTGTTATCAGTGGTGGATGAGGAAGTGTCTGTAGTGTATCATTAGTGGTAGTTGTGTGTGTGCTATAATTAGTGCTTGTTGCTGGATTATCCTGACAGCTTCATTAATGTTAAATGTTTCTGTTGTATTTGATCAGCAACCTGTTGTTTGATAAGTTCAAGTATTCTTTTGGGATAAGGTTGTGTATAATTGTTCTTTTTTGATCATCAACCCTTTGTTTGGTGACAGTGAGGTGAGGATATTGTTGTGTGAATCTATGGTGTAGTTGTTGTCTGTATGCTGTCATGTTTGCTTTGAGTTTTGTGATGGTATAGTAAATACGGGTGATAAACTCATTCATTTCTGATGTTCATTTCCTCTGTTGGCATGGTTTTCCAGCCCTTGTGGTCTGTGGATGCAGACTCATCAAGGCTAGGTTGGTTCCTCACATGTGTTGAGGGCATTGCAGTAGCCATGCTTGGGCCGGTGCTGTTTTTGCCACTGGTAACCAAAGGAGACTGTGGCCTGTTTTTCAAACATCAGCTTCTGCTTAACCCACAAACACAGACCTTGTTAACCCAGGCAACGTTCAAGTCGGTGTCACACTTAGACCTGATTATTACCATGGTAAATATCTTCACAGAATGTGGGTGTGGTCACTCTTAGCTTCATTTCTCCTTATGGACCTTACTGGCATAAGTGTCCCTACCAGGAGCCTGTGCTCCAGCCTTCATTGCTCTATGGATCACTAAAATTACTGGGCCTACCCACCATGACCAGGTGGTGACCACGAGAGAGTTATTATAATAATAATAATTTCCAAAGATGCTAGTAGATGCTGATCTCTTAAAAGGTATGATTCTCTGAAAAAGTAGAAATTTAATTGCCAATTGGCCAATGAGATAATATCAGTCTGTTGCTTTAGAAAAACAATTGCAAATAATAGTATACTTGCTTACTGGAGAATAAAATCAATAAAAATAAAAACCATTCAACTATCCAGCAAAATTCTTTAATAATTTAAAAACGTTTTCAAACGCATTAAGCGTTCATCATCAGTTATTTCTCTAATTTGAAATGTGGACTTCGAAAAATTACGCAACGGAAATTCCAAATAACGGTTATGTAAAAAATTAAAAGGTAACGTTTATGTAAAAAATTAAAAGGTAACGTGTTACAAACGATGATCGTTGATGGATATTTTATTTATTATTATTATTATTATTATTGTTTATTAAGCACACAAAAATTTGTATATAGCACTTTCGTTTGTAACACATTACCTTTTAATTTTTTACATAACCGTTATTTGGAATTTCCGTTGCGTAATTTTTCGAATTTCACATTTCGAATGGAGAAATAACTGAAGATGAACGCTTAATGCGTTTGAAAACGTTTTTAAATTATTAAAGAATTTTGCTGGATAGTTGAATGGTTTATATTTATTGATTTTATTCTCCAGTAAGCAAGTATACCATTAATGGATGTTGTCATCTGTAAGATTCGTCCTTGGGTGTTGATCACGACCTGCATTTTCAACATGTTCTTGCCCACCTTTAAATTCTCTGGTTCAAGTATACACACAATTCTGAGACAGTGTACTGTCCCCAAACTGTACCTTCAATCAACTAAAAATTTCTAAGGGTTTAACGCCCTCATTAGTTAAAAACTTTATTGTGATGCATT